TGTTCACTTAATTAAAGTAAAAATATGGTATTTCTTTACTATTGTAAGAAGAGCCACCTGTTCAGATTACTAAGTCCAACACTTCTAGTGCTTCATAACGTAACGTGTGACGTTACTTAAATCGCCGTGGGAACAATGAATTATACACGCAAATACCGATTACGAGAAGTTATTATACAAAATTGATTGTCGCCGCATAAATTTACATAATTGCAAATTCATAATATATTTAAAGTTTATTCATTAGAAATTTCACATACAATAGTTATTGAAACTTCCCAAAAAGTTCGGTATAGAACGTAAATAAATCAACATAGAAAAATTTATAATAAAAAGATAGAAATTATGGATGATAAAGGTGCCATAACAAAACTTCCTCATCACATACAACAGAAATTATGTCATACGCGACCACCTTACAGACAAGGGAAGAGATTAACGTCCGTGAAGGTAGCATTGTGGACTTGTATCCTATTCTACATAAAATGCGTGTACTAATGAATAATAACTCTAATGTTTTAGTCGTTATAAAATTACAGATATTTGCTATTAATACTTTTATACATTTAAATTATTTGTAGACAATTTCATTTAATGTAGCTAATTTTATAATCTACTATCATCTTGGTTTTTTATAATATTTCCTTGACACACTAGCTCTATGTAACAGGTTTATACAATAAACGACGAATCAAAACATGTGATGATATGTGGAGTGCCAAAACTTCACTTAGGGGAAGAAGTAAAAAAACTTGTTGAACCCTATGGAAATATAAAAAGGATACATGTGGTGCCTGATTATCCCACAGAAGAATTTACAGAAGCATATTATGTACAATATGTTCGCATACAAAGTGCAAGGTTTATATTCTTTCATGTTTCAAAAATATTTGGAGTTTGATGATCTCTGATTTCATATTTGTGTATCATATTGTACATTATATAGAATAGCAAAACGATTTATTGATGGAAAAAATTTTTATGGTGGTTCACTGCATGTTTTCTATGTACCTGAACTTGAAACTGTCTCAGAAACAAGAGCTAAACTTATTCAACGTCGCAGAGATGTAGCTATACGTACAAAAAGAAATCAACAAGATATGACAAATCTAGATGTCTGCAAATTTATACCTAAGTATGTGAAGAATAGAAATAAAATTATTGAGCATAATATTATGATTGAATAACAACTTTCAGAGAGCAATATCATAGAAAAAAGAAGAACCCTGCTTTACCACTTACACAAGACCGTCTAACTCAACATTATCCTGGGGAAACATTATCCTCTATTTATGATGGTATACCACAAAATCTAGATCCAAGACCAGTATCTGAACCTAGCTTACCTTCAACTTCATACAGTCATCTAGAAAATAATTCTGTTCCATTTGCATCATCACAAGCTCCTTATCACCCAAATGAAGCTATAATTAGAACATGTAAACACAAAGAAACTGCATTGAAATCTGACTGTACAAAAAACAAAAGAAAAAATTACAAGGGGCAGTATGTTAATAATAATGTTAAAATTAGAGTGGTTAGACCTCAACTTGTAGACACAAGTACCATAGTGAAATGGGATATGTCAAATAAGAATGTATTTTCCAACCCAAAGAAGGTTCAGAGTAATATGACTATTAAATTAATACCAAAGAGTGGTGATGAAAGAAAAAGGATTATAATAAAGGATCCAAGGTATGCTATATACTGTACTTCATATTGAATATGCTTTCATAATAAACTATTATTGTACTCCTGTTTAGTGTATCACAATTGGTAGAGCCAAGTGAAGATCTTCAATGTTTAATTAAAGAAGCAAAATCTCAGGTACGAGCGGCTATGCAGATGAATACTAGGGAAAATCCGTAATTTTATATTAAAACGTAATAAAAAGGAGGATTATGTTGAGAAGGTTGTTCATTTTATATTAAATAAATACATTATTGCAATTCGTTTAGATTGATATTTACAATTATTAAGTTCTACAATTGTTCATAAAAAACGGTTATATAAAATATGAACTATATCTAAATTTTCCTATAACAAATCAGTAATTCTAAATAATAACTGTTGAGTCTGGATCCCATTCTATGCTATTTAATCTAGATTTTGCAACATCTTTTTTGGGTGGGGGTGTGTTTTCTTGCAACTTTTTTGGTACAATGCCTTTGTTTTTAAACATCTGTTGAGGTGAATTTGCTAATAACGTTTGCATTTGTCTGTTATTGGAACGATTTCCAAGAGGAGTTCGAATCTGAAAATAATTATCACATAACATTTTTATTTTTTTTTTAAATTAATTAACAATTCGTTAAATACCTTCTTTAGTTCATTTACACTTTTATCGTTAAAATTTAAAATCTTTTTTTCATCTGTTATAATTTTTTCTAATTTTAGAATTTGTTTCTTGTTTCCAATTGTATCTACCTTTGTCTTGTCACTTTCAAATTTGGGTAGTTTTCCTGATAATATGTCTTTATCAATACTATCATCAAGTGTTAGTATTACTTCCTCTTTGAGTATATGTGATATTCTTTCTTCCATAGTTTGTATATCATCTGATTCACATGTTTCTGATTCTTGAGGCTCATTTAATACTAATGAATCTCTCCATACTTTAATTACATCATTAACACATATTTCCTTTTGTTCTGTATTTTTATTAACACATGTATCATTGTAATTATCCTGGTCTGAGATCATTTGAATTTCATCTTCTTCTTCCAATTCCTTATCATTTTCTGAGACATTTTCACTTCTAGATGAATGACTAGAACATGATTCAGATTCACTGCATTTGTCATTACAATCATCCTTGACCAAATCTAAGTTCTTTATTACACATGTGGCTAAATCAGGTAAAGCCTGAATTTCAGGAACATTAAATTGTGATGACATTTCACAATATGAAAACCTTGGGTAATAAACATCTGTATCATAACTGCCACGTCTGTGCAAGTTTTCTTGGGATCTAGCTTTTAAACTTTCCATAGATTTTGGCATTAATATAGGGGTTCTGTCAAAGTCTGCAGCTGGAGATCTAGGATCAAGTCCTAGGATATCATAACGGTCTTTACTTATAGCAGTAAGCAAGTTTTTATTAACTATGTCATTAACTGTGGGTGTTAAAAAAACTTCTGCATTATTTTGCTGAAAAAATTAAATAAGCTTTGTGAATTATTCATAATGATTAAACAACAGAACAATAAAATATTTCAATAAAGAATAAATCCTAATGCTACAATATAAATAATTTACCACATCTGATAATTGTAATTTTGTAGTTTCTATCATTCTTGGCAGAGCAGGTTTTCTGGGAGTTAAACATGGCATAACTTTGTCTATATCTGTTTCTAAATATGGTCTAGTTTGTAAATGTCTTGGAATTGCTGATACTATTCTTCTGTTCAATCCAACTGGTGTGCTATTCATCTATAAATATTAGATATATTTTTGCTTTTTATTGTTGAATAAATTATAAAAATTTACATCAATCAATATTGAAATTACCTCTATTGGTGTCCTATCTATTCCACTTGTTACTGATCTAGGATCTACCGGCAATGTTTTATGAATTATCGGTGGAGTTTGCATAATATATTTTTCAACAGTTACTTCTTCCGTAGAAGACTGATCTTTTATATCTCCTTTCTCAATCTCATTATTATGAGAAAAAAACTTGTTAACGTAATTTCCCATAATCGTAATTGTCTTTTTCATACACGTTTTCACACCTCAAGTTTTAATAAATAAATTGTAAATAAAATTCGTTCGCACTTACATCGAAGACATTTAAATCTGTTATTTGGACACAAACATCGAACGGCCAGTAATGTTTTTTTTGCAATTTTAAAGTAATTATTTCAAATTTAATGTTTACATAATAAGTGGAGTTTTGAAATTAAATCTATCTTGGGCGAAAGTTTTTTAAGATTCACATAAAGTTCAGTGAAATTCTTAATACGTTAACACTACAAACTCAAATATTATAATTCACCTTTGAAAATTAAACTGACCAAACCACGGAGTCCTACCAACATATAACTTCAAATAAGGGATAGGGATAATTTTAGGAACTTATTTCTGTTTTTGTATTTGTTATATGTATTTAATATGTATCTTAAAGTAAGAAGGGAAGTAATGCATGTTGTATTTTTTCTAAATAGTTTTGAAATAGTATCATGAAGCTCGTTAACTCGAAATATAATTTTAAATATAAAGCTTACTGCATTCACTATAAACGGTATAACTATATCGATGGTTAATAACAACTTAACATGTATGTATGGTAATTTTATGAAGCTTACATTGTTTACTTAATTATGATTTTAAATGCATTTTAAATATCAATTAATATGTATTAATTGAAAATGATGTATAAGAGAAGGTGGAATAATAGTATTAAGTGATAAGCTAATGATATTCAATGATTTTTAGGTTACTGTTTTAATTACACAAATTCATCAGTTAGAATTGTTACTGCTATTTTGATTGTTGTATTTAAAGTCAATAAAAATTTTTCATAAAAGAATAGATTTTTAAATCTGAGTATGCAAACATGCCATTCACTTTAAGTTCACAAGAAAACTGTAAAAATGATATGGTTCAAATGCAATCCATCAATCTGGTTTGTCCAGTATGTGATGCTGGATACATAAATAAAAAAGAATTTTACAATCATTTACGTATCCATGCTGGAGATGTATTATTGAAACATGTGCAATACTTAAAGAAGGATGAAAATTATGAGTCACAGACAGATCAGAAACATTTTAGTCAAAAGAAGATTGATGATAATTTGTATGAAACTGTATTAAGGCCATTCAAATGCCAGCAATGCAATTTAACTTTTGATAGAGCTTCTCAATATGATTATCATCACCGAAGTATACACTTGGGTGAAAAGTCACAGCTCTGTGAAATCTGTGGAAAAGGTTTTTTTCGCAAAGCAGACTTGAGAACCCATTTAAACATCCATTTGGGTACAAATATTTGTATCTGTGAAGTTTGTGGAAGAAAATTTAATCATATATCTAATTTGATTCGACATTGCAGAATGCATGCTGGTAATTATATTAGTTATAAATGAAATATAAATCATGAGAAAAGCTAAAAATCTGAAATTAAATTTATAGGGGTAAAATTATATCCATGTTCTATTTGTGGTAAACGTTTTACTCAGATTAGTTCTCTTGCAAGACATAAACGTATTCATGACAGAGTTAAGGATGATAAACATCAGTCACAAAGTACTTCTAATACTGGAAATGATGAGAAAAAGAATGCAATGAACACGAATAAGGTGATGGTTGAATATGATATTGTGTAACAGTTTTTAAATATAAATATATTTCATTGTCAATGTATAGTTTGTTGAAGGTAATACTCCTAGTCAACAAAAGGTTGTCAAGAGACAACATTATTGTAAAGTTTGTGGTGAAAGTTTCAATTTTATCTTTTTCTTGAAGGAACATGAAAAGTCACATGTGCAAAGTTTGAAATGCAAAAACAATGAGGTGGTAAGAATTTAAAAAAATAACATTCAAGAAATATATATTTTTGACATTTTTTCTCATTTAAAATTTTCAGAAAGAGCCAACTGCAAAACTTAAAGAGTATAAACCACACACCAATAGTTTTGATTTTCTTGAAAATGAAATAAATATTAAAAAAGTATTGCCATTGGACACAATCATTTATATTACATCAGAACAGGTAAATAATTTATTGTTAGAATCTTGTAATTTCGAAATATTCCTACATGCATTTAATTTTTTGTATGGAAAAAGTTGAAAAAAATCAATCTGGAAAATATTGATGATACTAGAAATCATGTTTCTCAAGAAAATTTATGTGAAACAAAAATTTTAACAACTGAAGACTTAGGTATCACTGACAAGGTAGTATTTAACAATGAACAAACTCAACTTGTTCATGATAGTCCACTTCTGTTATGTAAGTCTAATAATTCTGCAGAAAGAGAAAATGTAACATATGTCTGTCAATTAGATGAAAATGTTCTTAAAAATAAATTATGTATACAAACATGTGAACCAGATTTACAGAAAGTAGAAACAATACCAAATTACAGCACCCTCATAAATACTTCTATAAATGTTGCTGATTTGTTTCAAAAAATAGATCTTTCAGAACCTAGTACTAATGAACATCTTAATTCTGACCCAAATATACAAAAGCATCACGAAACAAATTTAGTACAAAATGAAAAAATATCAGACGATTTAAGTGATGTAAATAATATTGTAAATCACGACGAACCAATGTTACGTTTAGTACAAACGGAAACAGGGGAACAATTTTACGAATTTCTAATTAACAATTTAGTCGAAAAATTACCGAGTACGCAATCCGAGAAAACTTCAGAAAACAAAGATGAAAATACAGATATGAATGATGAGAATCATCAAGAACAAAACATACGAGATGATGTACACAATGACTTAAATTATGCACAGTATGAATTACAAAATGAAGAAAAAAATTTTGTTACAAGTCAGATTCTATTGGATACTCAAACTGATTTTGATAAATATGTCGATACAAATTTCGAAGTGTTCGAGAGATTAAATTACGATGACAGTTCAGAACGATTCCTTGAATTTGTTGAGAATACAGGACTTGAAAATCAGAATGAAAAAATTTCAGAATGTAGCAAAGAAAATGAAGAGTTTCTACAGTTTCAAAATTTCACTCAAATTGATACCATACAACAGAATGAAAAGAATATTACTATTAACGACAATAGTAATGACAATAGTAATCCAATTGTTGAAAATGATGACAAACAAGAGCATAGCAAAGATATAATTAGTAGCAGTGAAATATATGAGGATCAACAGGAATTAAAAAAGTCAAAATCGTTTTTAATAAAATTTCAATGTACAGTATGTGAAAAGTCATTTTCAACTAGCTACAATTATAAACAACACATAGGTACTCATTTTGCAGATCAACAGAAATTTCATTGTAAAGATTGTAAAATGTCTTTTGCTTGGAAGTCAACATTGAACAAACACATTGCAAACAATCATAGACCAGAAGGTCCACAGAAGTTTGCATGTGATATATGTAATAAAATTTACAATACTTCTTCACAAGTAAATGTGAGTATTTTTAAAGACATTTTTGTAATCAGTAAATTATGTAAGTATTAAATGACAATATCTTTTGCTACAGGAACATGTAAAACGCGATCATTTAAAGCAGCGAAACCATGTTTGTTCTCAATGTGGTAAATCATTTTTTAAAAAATATGATTTGAAAATACACAACAGAATTCATACTGATGAACGACCATACGTTTGCCGCGCTTGCGGGAAAAGGTTCCATCACCGAAGTCATATTATTCGCCACGAACGTATTCATTTTTAGGAGAAGATAAACTTATGTTATTTGTTTAAGAACATAGGGAACAAAATGTAAAAACACTAAAATCGTTATAATTATTTTATTAAATAAAAATTAACAATGTTGTTCCGTTATCCTGTTTATATTGTAATGCAATTGTAAGTGATACTCATAAAGCACTACAAAAATTTCTTTTTTAAATCATCATTTTTTAATAAAAACATAGTACTTTTTTATTTTCTCCCTGTCTTTTGTAATTTTTTTTATAATTGCCTTGGAATCGTTGCAAGAAATTAATTTTTATTTTCATTATTCAAATACAGCAATTAATTTCTATACACGTATATTCAGTAATCTGATCACGTTTGTCAGAAACAAGGTGGTACACGTTTTAATAGTCGTTAGTCAGCAAGTGTAGCTTCAATATGGTCGACAGCATGAGTGACGACGTGGTGAATAACGTGCAAAACCTAAATATAAAGGAAGAAAAGGCATGAATACGGTTTAAATTTAATAAAGTTTTTCTTATTTTCATTTGTAGAGCTAAAATATGTCGATGACTTTGCGTATTAGCACTTATAGAAACCTTTACAATGTTTCTAAACGGACACATGCTTCTTGGGTTGGTTATAAAGTATTTTATTATTACGATACCATTTTATAGTATCATTCTTAGAATTTCTACTTTACGTATATTTTTCCGATAATTTATCGCAAATGCACGACGTATATTTTATCACAGAATGACCAACCACTATACTAAAATCAATAAACTGATGCAATCTGTTCGGATAGCTTCTTACGAGTTATGCTTATTCAGTAATCGTATTAACCTCATGTGTCCTTACATTAATATAAGGAAACTTATAGGCATCGAAGAAAAGTCTGTTTCTGAATTAAATCCTTGGCCAAGTTATATTCAGGTATATCATACTGTTTATTTTAAAGATTTAAGCATATAAACAATTGATGATTCGAATAAACAAATTTCATAAATTAAAATTTTTGCACAAGTTACATTTCTTATTCAATTGTTTTCTTGACTAATAATTACTACTTTAGGATCGTATTATACTATGGGACAAACTGAAAGCAGAGTATGAAGCATCATTAACTGAAAAACCAGTTAAGGACATAACAGTAACGCTTTCTGATGGAAAAGAGGTTGTGGCACAATCTTGGCGTTCAACACCATATGAAGTTGCAAAGAACATTAGTCAAGGTTTAGCAGATAGTACTGTTATTGCAAAAGTTAACAATGAACTGTGGGATCTTGACAGACCTTTGGAGTTTGATTGTAAACTTGAACTTCTCAAGTTTGACCATCTAGATGCCCAGCAAGTGTTTTGGCACTCCAGTGCACATATTTTGGGAGAAGCCATGGAAAGAGTATATGGTGGTTGCTTGTGTTATGGTCCACCAATAGAAAATGGATTTTATTATGACATGTACTTAGAAAACAAAGGAATTTCTAATTTAGACTTCCCATACTTGGAGAGTCTTTACAAAAATATAGTTAAAGAAAAACAAGCTTTTGAAAGATTAGAAATGACCAAGGAAGATCTCTTAGAGATGTTCAAATACAATGAATTCAAAGTTCGTATTATCAATGAAAAAATACATACACCTACTACTACAGTATATAGGTGTGGTCCATTGATTGATTTATGTAGAGGACCACACATCAGACATACTGGAAAAGTCAAAGCTATTAGAATCACTAAAAACTCTTCCACTTATTGGGAAGGGAATGCCAATGCAGAATCTTTACAAAGAGTATATGGTATCAGTTTTCCAGATACCAAACAATTAAAGGAATGGGAAAAGTTCCAAGAGGAGGCTGCTAAACGAGACCACAGAAAAATAGGAAAAGAGCAAGAGTTATTCTTCTTCCATGAACTTTCCCCAGGATCATGTTTCTTTCAACCACGTGGAGCGTATATTTATAATACTTTAATCGAATTTATTCGTTCTGAATATCGAAAACGTGGCTTCCAAGAAGTAATCACACCTAATATTTATAACAGTAAATTATGGCAAACGTCTGGTCATTGGTTGCATTATTCCGAAAATATGTTTTCCTTTGACGTCGAGAAGGAAACCTTCGCTCTTAAGCCAATGAATTGCCCTGGTCATTGTATGATCTTCGAAGTTCGTAATAGATCTTGGCGTGAATTGCCGTTAAGAATGGCAGATTTTGGAGTACTACACAGAAATGAATTGTCTGGTGCATTAACTGGACTTACTAGAGTCAGACGTTTCCAGCAAGATGACGCTCACATATTCTGTTCGGCCGATCAAATTAAAGATGAAGTGATAGGCGCACTTAACTTTTTGAAACACGTATATACCGTATTTGGCTTTACATTTCACTTATGTCTGTCTACAAGGCCTGAAAAATATTTAGGAGATTTGGCTATGTGGGATGAAGCTGAAAAAGCATTAACTGAAAGTTTGAAGGTATTTGGAGAACCGTGGAAAATTAATCCAGAGGATGGCGCATTTTATGGTCCAAAAATTGATATAACAATTATGGATGCGCTTAAGAGACATCAACAGTGCGCTACCATTCAATTGGACTTCCAATTGCCAATTAGATTTAATTTATCTTATGTTAAGTAAGCAGAACAATTTTAATCGTCATATTAATCATTAAATTAATTTCAATTTAAATAAAAATTTCAAATAAAAATTTTAGTGAATCTGGTGAAAAAACAAGGCCAGTAATTATTCACAGAGCCATTTTGGGTTCTGTAGAGAGAATGATCGCAATTTTAACAGAATCGTACGCCGGAAAATGGCCGTTTTGGTTGTCCCCTCGACAAGCAATGATTATTCCAGTAAGTTCTCAATTCGATGATTATGCCGTCCAAGTGAAAGACAAACTTTGGAATGCTGGATTTATGGCAGAACTTGATACCGATCCAAGTGACACTCTGAATAAAAAAATACGAAATGCCCAGCTTGCACAATTTAACTTCATCCTTGGTAAAAAAAATATTCCAAATAATATTCTAAATCATAACTAATGAAATATTGAAGTGTTAACTTTTATGTAAATTTATTTTTCAGTTGTTGGAGAAAAGGAACTTAATGCTGGTACAGTAAATGTACGAACCAGGGATAATGTAGTGCACGGAGAAGTCCTTGTTGACGATTTAATTGAAAAATTCAAAGTATTCAAAGAGAGGAAGGATAAAAATTGTGAAGAAAGGTTTTAAATTGGCTCTGTGCGCAGACAGGGTATTTATTTATTTCTAGGGTATAATTCCGAAGCTATCGGTTGTAATACGGATCCACAGAGTTTTAAAATGATAATTTCTAAATATATCAGAATAATGCACAGATAGTTTTTGAAATAAAATATCACTGTAAAGCATAGGATGAATATTTTGCATTTAATTAATTCTATTTAGTATTTAAACTTTAATACAAGTGTCAAAGTAGAAATAGAAAAAAAATACAGAAATCTGCACTCAAATTTCAGCTGACCAATTCATGCATTTATATTTTCAAAATAATCTCTAATTTTATTATAAAACAATTCATGCATTTATATTTTCAAAATAATTTCTAATTTTATTATAAAAATCTTTCTTTTTATCAAATAAGTTGTTTCGTATAGTAATACAGATATATTTTTTTCTCGTTAAAAACAATAAAAAACTGTATATATAGGTAGTATTATTTAGATTTTTTCAAACATCGTTTTCGAGAGAATTTATCTCATGTAAGTATTCGAAGCAATTTTTAACGATAAATGATTTTATTCGAAAGCTACAAATAACTTTTGATTGCTTACATTTTTGTAGCAGAAACATTGAGTGTACATTGTAACTGGAAATGTTCATCTCAACGGCTGTGCTCCATAATTTATTGCAGAACTGTCGATATATACATATTGATGTAACTGTTTTTGGAATAAATTATTGCTGTAAATTATAGACTGCAATGACGCAAATAGAAAAGTTTGTACCTCTGAAATCTCTTATAGCAACCTCCATAATAAAGTAGCATGTTCGATTAAAATTGTTTTTGTTTTATTATAAATCGAAGTATTTTTTCGGCAAGTGCCTACCTTACTTTATTAACAAGCTTTCTGAACGAACAAATTATTTATTTTTTACTAATAAAGAAAAATCACTAAAATAATAATGAATAATGTTTAACATTATTGTAAAATAAAGTGAAAATACATTTAATTTGTGCAAAATAGTTTTTAAGTGAATAAAATATTATTTCGTTTATAAATATAAATATAAAATTTTGTTGAAGTGTGAATATACTTAAAAACCAATCACCTATCATTCATCTCCACACCCACCTATAAAAAAATTTCACTTGTTCCACCCAGTCAAGAAACACCCGCAACCAACGAGGTAACATATCTATGTTTGGCACGTCAGATTCATATAAGAATTTGTAAGAAGTCTATCGCATTCAGTATTTAGTAAACAATTTTTATTTTGTACATCATATCATATGTTAGCAAATCGCCCTTACGTCATCAGTTTGCCGCGAAAGCAAGATAGGAATTCATGGGCGTACTTCAAGTGCAATCGTGTCACGATTAGTGCATAGTGTCGAACAGTAAGCGAATAATTTGAAATGGCAGCACGAAAGGAATGGTCGAAAGATGAGATCTTCAATTTAATTAGCATGTATGAAGAGAACTCAGTTTTATGGAATACAAAAGATATTGAACACAGAAACAGAGAAAGAAAGAATAAAATAATAGAAGAAATGGCGGCAAGTTTTAACTGTTTATCAGAGGAAATACAACGTAAGATACATAATTTGAGGAACCAGGTAAAGTATAATAAAGTAAATAAAATTGAAGAAACATATTATTTAACTATGCAAATTACAGATGTCACAAGAATTAAGAAAGAAGAAAAAGAAAAAAAATTGGAGTAGAACCGATGATGTGGACGTTTCTAATTGGCCATATTTTGCTGCTCTAAAATTTTTGATTCCTGTGCTTTCTATGAATGCGATACAGTCTTCATACATACAGGCATCTATCACACTTTCTGTTCAGGAATACACAGTTCAGATTTATAGGTTTTTACAAAACTCGAAATTTGTTGACAACTATTACAATAAATAATTGCATGTTACCATAAATCACCTATATAAAAATGTTATTTCTTTAGGTAGAAAAAATTGAACCAGAGGAACATGCAACTGAGAACAATGCAGAAAGTGAAGAGAGAACAAAAATACCAATGCAACCACCAAGGAAGCGTAGGCGTGAAAACGATGATGTTGGTGACCAACTCATTAAATCGGCTTTAGAAACGCTTCAAAGGGAACCCGATGAATACGATAAATTTGGCCAATATGTAGCGTTGGAGCTTAAATCTTTAAAATCCGATTTCAATAAAGCGAGGCTAAAAAGCGAAATACGAAAAGTAATTGTCCGCATTGCGGATGAAGATCTCTATGGTACTCCAAATACATCATCTGTTTCTACGCCAATGCCGTCTCCTGCTTTTCAACCGGAACTAGAATTGGGGTAATCAGCCCATTCATTTCGCAAATGTATCAGTACATTTGAATATTTTGATATGTCATTTTTTAATAAAAAATATATTTATTTTGAAAAAAGTTTTATTGAAAATATTTTATTTTCATATATTTGTCTTTTAAAGTACTGTGAATAGCCCGAGATACTTCTTTTACTATTCATTTATTATGCATTTAGGCATAAAGCATTAGGCATTAAGTATATATTTATCCATGATCACTATCCCACCTCAGTTTTATTTTCAAATAGACTGCAGAAAGTGGGGATAAACGAATTTCAAGTGATCACGGTTCTGAGAGTTCTGTCTGATAGCAGAGCTCTCGGCGAGTTATCTAGTGTCTACTTGAGAGTAAAAATTCTCGAAGTTACTATCGAATTGACGTTTAATACTCGAGAGTAACTATCGAGAGTAACTCATGCGAGATTCTTTAAAATGGATATTTAGCTTAAAGCATGCACTTCCGAGAAGAAACACGCATGCGCGAGAATATAGAGTTTAACTTCCGGAAAGAACAATAAGCGGCAAGTAGAAGCTAAGAGCGTTTTGTTTGGTTGTTATAAAATGACAGCCGTTACGATTTCACCGATTTCACAAGGACTTATTCAAGTTGTAAATGAAAGTAATTTATGTAAAATCGAGAGGTATGTGTTATATCAATAATAATGTGTAAATTATGTCTTGGCACGATGTGAAACTCAAAATGGTGTTATCGATTTCTGCATAGCTTCCTCAATGACACAGCGTACAGGGAAGCCATTGAAAATTCCTCAAATTATAACAGCCGACTATGCAGGGAACGACGGTTACGAATGCCTTTCCTCGATTCCCAAACAGGTATTGGTTATCATAACTTTTTTCATGAAATTTGTATATTTGTACGATCATTATGATACGTCGAACAACCTAGTAATGCTCCGATCGCGTCTTGGAAGTTACTCTAGTCAAACTATTGTTGAATGTAATTTAAAAACGTGAGTTCATTGTTGGTTTTTCAATTACTTCATATAAAAGTTTTTCAAATAATTAAAAATTGTTTTGTGCGCTCGAGCTCCAAAATTGACGAATTAACAACGCTTGTTACAAATATCAATTTGATGTCTTTAAATTGTAGGTGCATAATTATTACAGTTATCATTAGATGATGATTTTACTGTTTTAATGTAACTGTATGGAATTACAGGGGTAGCGCAGAATCATTCTGCGCTATTTATGTCTTCAAGAGAAAGACTACCTGGTTTGTTACATGGTCAAATATATACATATCCTAGTAAAAGATGGAGGAAAAAACGGCGACAATATTTGATGCATTATTTACATCCAAAAAGGGGACCAAGAGGTGATCCTGAAGATGGTGGTGAAGGTGTAGAGACTGTAACACATGTAAATGATGATAGCAAAGATTCAGTGGCTCTTAAAGGTAATTATATTTATTACTTGCATATTTGATAAAACAAAATTGCATCAATTTCACCTACTGCAGTAACAAATATAATGATATTTCACAGATGAACATAGTAAAGATGCATGGTACTATGATGAGCAAGATATGCTAGATATGGATACATATGAGGAACCTGATGCTGAAAGTGACTATGATTATGAAGAAAGCTATAGCAGTAAAAGGAAACGAAGAAAACCTCGTGGTGGTGGTCATCATCCTGCACGAAATCATCCATCTTCCACAGATAGTCCTGGGGGCAAACGTACTAAGGTAAGTTTAATATACATTGTTATCATTGTTATTGATATGCAAGTGTTTTATTTCATTAATATTGTTAGTAAGAAGTTCAAGAAAAGATACAGCAAAAGAAGTTGGATTTGATTTCTTTTACTTAAATTTTTTATTTAGTTTCTTTCATATATGGCAGATATTAAATTTGTCATATATTTTATCGAATAGGGTGGGGGACGCGGGCGCAAAAAGACCAACTATGATGCCGTTGACACTGATAAGCCATTCGTTTGTGACCGTAAGTTTAATCACAGATACAACTACAAATGACCACTTCCTGTTACTAGTTTCATTATAAATATTATTATTATTAGTTTTATCAGTTGTTATTTCAAATAAGAGGAAAAATGCATTGCGTTAGACGATTTGTTAAGTTTTATTAAATAACTATATTTTTATGATGCCTACGTATTATTTTACATACGCAGAGGTTACTATATAATATAAGATGATGATTGGAAGCTCGAAATAAATTATTGGAAGACTTTAGTCTTGGTTACCGCATAATTTTACACATGGGGATGGTGATTGAACTAAGTATAATCAACTTTGTAACGTGGGAAGGTGCCCTTTTAGTCGTATATTAATTTTACATTGACTTATAATGCTCTCTTGTTCAGAGGAATTGATCAGTATTGTATTGACTGCTGTTTTCCTTCAAGTTTATGAATCGCAGTACGTTACATAGCATATTCCAGTCCTTACTGTGTATATTTCTGTTTTATCTAAAACCTTTTATTCCATTTCTCTTTTCCTATTTGTCAAAGTATGAAGAGACATGGTATGACTCATGGATGAAAGGCAAAGTTTGATTATGCACATTGAAAAATTTAGAGTTTTTGCGTGTAAAAGAATATACAATGTATTAAACAAGCTTCTATAAAATTCCAGTGAAATGGTACCATTCTATGTAAGAAGTAATTATCCCCTGAAATCGTGTACTATAAATTACCATTCATTCGCGTTTTGTAAATTTATGAATCGCGATCACGTCAAAGGAAGATCTATTTATTGTGTCTATTGTGTAGTAGCTGATACTGTCTATACATATATATATATCTTTTATTTTTTTTTTTAATTTATAACAGTATAAAAGATTATGTTTACGAGATGTTAGTGTTAACGAGGCATCGAGTGAAACCCGAAGTATAATATCACGAACAAACGTATAATGTCGCGCTTGTCCAAACCTTGAAGGAGTATAATAGTCACTACTAATTTGATCGAACTTTTTCCAGACTCGAAGTCTATGAATTAACTCGAATGTGCCTGCAATCTGTTTACTTCTTGAAACCACTCCTGTTAGATTAGCAGAAAGAAAAATCTAAAGACATTTGGTCTCGATTAGTAAGCCTCGATCATACCATGAACTTTTCCGTAAAATACTCTAAATTGACTTTGGTCTCGATTACATCGAGCTTACGAAAGTGATCAAATATCTTCGGACTTCTATACTACCTGCCAATAACAGAGCAAGAATGTACTGGCTCACACTGTAGCGAGCTCATTCTGTAGGAGTATACAAGCATCAAGCCTTGCATCGTATTAGTTTTGCTTCTTGGGCTGGAACTCCTTCACTGCTTGTCCACATATAGATTCGTAGGTGGATAGGGATATGTACTGGTGCGGAAGGTGTGCAAATGCTGTCCCTAGCCCGTAAGCTTCTATCCTAGAAATCCTTTAACCGCCTCGTTTCTTCAATTTCATCAACAACTTGTTCATTTCTTTCCCAAACAGAAAAATCTTTTTTCTATACTGTTCTCAATCTATCATTTTCTATGTTCAATGTAACTTCCACTTGCAATATTCAGTGTGTGATGAAAGGCTCAAGAGAGAGTACCGTTCCAACGCGGCGGTTAAACGAGTACATCCTCCCATATCGTCCAACCAACTCGTCGACCAAGATTTCTCTTATCATGGACGTTGCATTGGATGGTTTGTGGGAAAACAGTATTTGCACTTTTGCAGTATGCAGCGCACGGTATAAAACCAGACCTGGTCTGGTCTACCATTACGGTCATTCCCACTCTACTTCCTCCGGTGATCCTGCTAAGGAACTAAGTCCCAGTCCTGCCGAAGTTGAACCTAGGAGCGTTGCAGACACCGCTGCTTCGAACCAGCCAGGTTGGAGCCAAAATCAGCTCAGTTTTCTCACTTTCCTTTAAAGAAAAAAGAAACAACAACAGAAAAAATGATACGTCAATTCGTTCCCCCTGGTCCCATGATGTCTCAACCCTTGATGCCTTATGATCTTTGATCTCTGGATCCTAATTCTTGCAACTATACTTGTTCATGTACAGTTACCCCTTAAACAACATTTTTTCCTAACTTGATGGAATTAAATATAATCTCTTCATCTCTTCTTCTTCTTCTTATTCTTGTTCTTACTCTACTTCTTCTGTTTTTTCTCTTCTTCTTCTTCTTCTTAATTTACATGTATTGCAAATGCATGCATTGCAAATAACCGTAGCGTAATGGAATTTTTTTTTGTGTTTCCACATATTTTCTCCATAGCGTTTTTCATACGTGTATGGAATCTCTCGTGCACATAGTAATCGTCCCTCCTCCCTTTTTTTTTTTTTTAATTTCTTTCCGTTTCGTCACTAGACGAATTTAATTCGCGTCTCGCGAGAATATCATACGGAGAAGAACCATCTAAGTCAGTATGATACGAACGATTCTCTTTCGTTTTTTCCTTTTTTTGTTACCTATATGTGTATACTATTTTTATATATGTATACAGAAAATAATGTCTGCCTCGTGTGCTGAACTTTTCAGATCTCTCTCTCTCTCTTTTCTGTTACCCTCGATATTATTGACGATGCGCTGAATCGAGCCGGATCACGGAGAGAAATGCAGTGATTGTTGCGAATGTTTTGCAATAGCATGCTTCTGCAGTTCGCCAAAGAAAACAAATTTTTCTTTTCTTTCGAAAACACTGAA